GAAGGCCTAGGATTAATAAAAGAAAAACAAATACAAAATTCATGAAAACCTCGTCGAGGCGGACTGGACGTTTACACATTCATAAGTAACGGTTGAGGCACTTTCTACGGCGCATTATCAGTCATCTGATATCGAGCTGAAAAAGTAGGCGATTTGAATTTCACGCCTCAATATTTGCATTTGAACTTGGCCAGCTCCAGGCCGCGTTGGAAAACGTGATCCATCTTACACAAGGCATCTGTTAATCTAGGAGATCCTAGGGGACTCTAGAGAAGAAAATACATTGAGGTCATCAAGAATGGGTAGGATACGGACAGATGATTAGTACTGAACACATAGATTGTATGCCAGAACTACTAGATAACGAGACTGGAATAGATAATGAAGTTTGAAAGTAAAAAATCCTTGCTTTATCATTTTTTTTTCATCACGGATATTCCATCGGATTCCATCTCATTTCAAATTAAACTGGTTTACAGAAGATTGACTTGGTCCCTTCGTTATGATGCCGATGTTGATTTATGTGGGCACGTTGATAGTTGATATTTTTAAGAAGAAGAAAAACCAATAAAATAAGGCTAGAAACGCTAAAATACAAATATTTAATTTTTACTTATATACGTAAGATAACTGAGAAGTTGGAAAACAATTGTCGTTTAAGTGAAATGAAAGATGAGGTTTTGCATAAGAAGGTGGCTAAGGAATTCCAAAACAATGTAGCACGCACCACTAACGGATCCAGGATTTAATTTTGGGAGACTTCAGCCCGAAAGATTTTTTTTCGTATAAATATATTAGGATAATTACTTCGGAAGATAGAAAGAAACTAAATACATATATGAATTGGTCTATTTTTTTCATAAACAAGGTTATATTTTACCATTTTGAGAACTGGGGGACTTCAGCCCGAAAGCTCTTTCCCTCAGCCCTCCCTCCACCCGAGGCACACATTATAAAAGATTTTTAAAACGAAACAGTTATATGAGGAGGAATATACAGATTTGTGTGCTTGGATCTCGTGTTTAAAAATGCACGGAGGAAAGTCCATCGTATGAAAGTCAGTCGTAATCGAAATGAAGGAAAAATAAGAGAGGAAACTAGGAGTTGACGGATTTTAAGGTAGATATGATAACGGATAATTTGCAAAATATGGTTATTATACGTCAGATATTGATCAAAAATTATCCCAGAGCTTTATAATGGAAGTGTGGAAACTAAAAAATGGGCTATTAAGATTGAGTAGGGGATAATAAGAAATGGAATGAGGTTCGACTCAATGGGAATGGCTTTGTTCTTCTCAACATTCAATCTCAAATAGATTTGATACTTTCTATATCTCAGATTGACAACAATCAGGGTCGCGTTGGTATATTCCCTTAATTTTACAAATAAAAAAAAAATTACCCACTATTTTCAGATATTTTACCAACTATTTCATCAACGGGAGGGTGTTCTTAAATGTGAAACAGAAGTGGACAGATATTCGTTCAGTCGACTTCAATATGAGGACTACAAATCACTTGAACTGTCCGAAACCGATTAAAAAATTTAATTTCAATAAAAATACTTTAAAAGCCGTCCATCCCATTAGATATAAATACAGTTAGAAAAGAAAATTTAAGAGAAATGAGTAATCCTAAACATTTAATCTCAATTTTCTTACATTAGCAACTTTTAACAAAACTTTAATTGTTTTTTCTAATCAATATTTATATTATTTTATTAAACTTTGTTATGAAACAATTTTCATTGCAAAGTTTATAGAAATTGATTTTATTTTTAATAAATAATTTTACGCGATTTTGTCATTTATATCTCTCAACTTTACAGTGTTTTTGTTTTGTTTGATAATTATAATAAATTGTGCTAAACAATATTTTTATTTTATTTAGAAGTTAGTTTATATTTTTCTAAGAAATCTTTTTTACATTTTAATTAAATATCTCATTTCGGCCTCACTTTCTGACCCATATTTGTTGTTTAACAAGGCGGCAACCCTGACAGCAATGTTGCGGTATACCGGACTGACTTGATCTTACCACAACAACAGCATGTTGACAAGGTTAACGATCGATTTGACCACCTGTATGATAGTGGTAATGATTAAAAAAATATATCTTTAAATGATAGTTGTCCCTGGTGCAGACCCCTTTTTATCGAATTATTAACATCCGCCTGAAACTTCGTAAATAGTTTCATCTCATCGTAACTTAGAACTATTTTATTTACGAAAACTCTTGGAATTGGGGCGTTTTCGATCTGAAGATCGGCAAACGTTGTCTATTTACTTAAGTTCTTCTTCTTCTTTTGCATCACCCTGTAGTGCCTTTCAGCGTAGGGGAGCGCCTAACCAGGATTGCCAATTTTCCCTGATTCTTGCATGATTTCTGACTTGGCGTATATTCTTATTTCTATTTTTGCACAGGCGGTCTACGTACTCGAGGTATGACATTCTCGGTCTGATGCGGGGTCTTCCTCCATTGGGGACGAAGTCCATAGACTTTAATGGATCTCTGTGTTCTTCCATCCTGGTGACATGCCCAAACCACTTAAGCTGCCGATTTTTTAGGGCATCTTTCATCGGGGGAACCCCCAATTCCTCCCTAATTCTCTAGTTACGAATGCAGTCCCATCTCGTTTTCTCTGCGATCCTTCGGAGAAACCTCATTTCTGCAGCAGTGATTTTTCCCTCAAGTTTGTCAGTCAGCACCCAGCTTTCTGCACCATACAGGAGTATAGGCAAGTATACTGCCTCAAATATGTGCAGTTTTACACCTCTGCTCACTTTTCTCTTTCAGATCACAGTATTACAGATCTGGCAATATATAGCGTTTGCTTTTCTTATCCTGTGCAGAATTTCTGAATCCACTTTCCCAGATCTATCCATAACAGAATCAAGGTAGATGAAATCTGACACAACTCCATCACCTCTCTGTTGCAATACACTGTAACATCTTCCTCCACCCTTCCAGCCTGTAGGATCTTGCTCTTTCCTGTACTGATGACCATACCCTTCCTGAGGAGCTCCTAGTTCCATTCGTAACTCCCTGCTATAATTTCTCCACAGAATCAGCAATCAGGACAATATCGTCCTCATAGAGAAGAAACTGAAATACAACCGGAAACAGATTCCTTCGCCCCAGAAATGTCCTTTCTGTTCGCCTTTTGCAGATTGCAGCAATGTCATCCATATATAATATAAATAGCATTGGGCTTAAACTATCAACTTGTTTGACCCCTCTAGTTATGCTAAAATAGCCAGATTTCTGTCCATTCAGGCTGACTATTCCTTTTGTATTTTGGTATATGGATTTAATGGCCTCAACCAGGCTTCTAGAAACATTTTTTACTCTTAGTGTTTCCCATATTTCGTTTCTTGGTACTAAATCAAATGCTGCTTGAAGGTCGAGGAAGGCTAAGTACAGATTTTTATCATTATCCCATGATTTGCATTATATTCCTGAGGATGAATATATGATCCTGTGTCTGACGCCCTGGTATGAAACCAGCTTGCTCTTCTCCTACGAACGGTTCCACTAGAGGTCTCAGTCTATTGTGCAGAATGGAAGTATATAATTTATATACCACTGGGGACAGGCATATGGGTCTGTAGTAGGAACATTCAGCCTGGCTGCCTTTTTTATATAAGGGAATTATGACATTATATTCCCATTCTGTAGGAATCCTTTTGCTGTCCCAGGCTTTTTGAAAAAGTATTTGGAGAGACCTCACTAACTCCATCCCACCATACTTGACAAATTTTCCAACTTAATTATCCTGTTCTGGAGCTATTCCTGTTTTTATCTTTTCAATACCTAGCTCTACCTCGTCCTCCTCTATGACCTCTCCGAAGTCAGTAATTAAGTACTAAAAACTCGTAAATACACATTGCTTTCTACTTGTATCGCAAGATAAGTTGATCACAAAACAGATAAAAAAGATGCCCTTCAAAAACATTGAACCGTTTGGCGTGACCTACACTCCCAAAATTTCAAAATAACGAGGTTATATAGGAAAAACGGCACAATATATATGTAGGCCACCTTTTTTATCTGTTTTGTGATCAACTTATCTTACGATCCAAGTAGAAAGCAAATGTGTATTTACGAGTTTTTATTACCTAATTAAATAGACAAAGTTTGCCCCCCTCCAGATCGGAAACTTTTTTTTTAATATTCAATTTATAACATACCTTATAGTATTTTTTGAAACAGATTTCAGTCTATATATGAAAACTTCGTTATATTGTCATCCAGACAAACTACTCTACAGGTATTGCTCAAGGCAATGTCGTTCGGCCGGTGTTATGCAAACCTAGTTTCCATCGATTTAGAATAGATAGAACAAATTTCCTACCGAAGGCTTCGATATTGAGTAAGGTATAAACGGCACTTTTACACTTAGGAGAGTTTTCTTTTTAGATGAGGGTCTGAATGCCCAAGGGACCGAAAAGTTCTGTTATGAAATAGATAATGAAATAACAATTATTTTATGTTTATATTCTACTTTTTATTCTCCCATAGCTACTTTTTGATGTTAGCTTACTAATTGTATAGTATTATGCGGGAATCATGTAAACACCTGATATTACCTACAAATGTAAATTACATCACTTTTACATTACATGACTGAGTGAGGGGCACTGGAATCTCCTAGGGTCCTGCCTTTCCTTCCACGAGTGGTAAAAAGGCTTAGCTCGGAGTTCTCCTGTGTGAATGACCTGTGTAAATATTGTATAAAAGTATGCATGCATTTAAGTTGTTATTTTGATTAGTTTATTTTCTTTTGTTTATATATATATTTACTTTTAATATTATTATTTTTCTGTTTAATTTATTTATTTAACATAAAGTGTGAATATGCTCTCTGAACACTAGTATTAATGTCCTAATTGAACTAGATTGTAATATTTCACAAAAAATAAGTTATGAAGGATTTAAAATGGGCATATAAAATTCCTGAGCTTAGTAACGAAAGAATTCCTAAAATTCTAATATGCAATGTACCGATTGACAAGCGTCCAAGCGGTAGACCGTAACGAAAGTGGAAAGATTGCGCTATTGCATATCTGGCGTGGTTGGGTTTGGGCTGCACCCGTGGATGGTAAAATGTAGACAGCAATTGGTAGTATCGGCATCGAACATTTGGGTTCGCTAAGCCTTATCATTATTATAATTTTATTTTGTACTTTTTTTTTCTCTTTATCATTATTACTAATATCTATTTTATTATTTAAAATCAATTTTTAATGGTGGGTAAATGGTTGACTGTCTTGAATAATGAAGAGAAGAATAGTTGAGGTGATCAGTCAAATAAGAAGGCAAAAATAAATGATAATATTTATTTTGACATTTGTCGACGTTTCGACCTGAAGTTCAGGCCTTCATCAGTGCTAAGAAAAGAACCAGATAACAAGGTATGAGAAACATAAGTAGTGTAGGTAAAAAATTAAAGTAAAATGCAGTTGTTAGAATAATGACAATCTCTTATTATTAACAATTTATCTCTTAGTTCATACTATTGTCATTATTCTAACAACTGTATTTTACTTTAATTTTTTACCTACACTACTTATGTTTCTCATACCTTGTTATCTGGTTCTTTTCTTAGCCCTGATGAAGGCCTGAACTTCAGGTCGAAACATCGACAAATGTCAAAATAAATATTATCATTTATTTTTGCCTTTTTATTTGACTGATTTATCGCCCCAACTATTCTTCTCTTCATAAAATCAATTTTATTTATTTAGTTTATTTAATTTTTTTTGTCTTTAAATCTTTATTTATTATTGTTTTATTTATTTATTTTTTAACCTACCAGGTAATATTTTAATAGTAGTATTAAAACAACATCAAAACAACCTACCAGAAACCTTATCTAAGTGTGTGCCAAATTTCCATACTTAAATAAGAGTTCTACAGAATGGGCCAAACAGTTTTACTATATTGTAATTGGTAAAACAATAATATTCGGCTAATACAATTTTATTTACATAATTGACATTTATTCACACACGCATTGATGCTTTCCCTCCTGACCTAGAATATATAACCTTAAATCGTGTGAATGTCCTCCAACCTATCCAACTCACGCAGCCATTCTAATCTCATGAATTTATTTAAAGATTTTATACACATATTCAATTTACTTCTCGATGTTGGATTACATCATACGAATCAAGACTTGGCAGGATCAGAAACACGAATTCAATTTATGTTTCTTAGCAAGGACTCGCAGTTCTCGCTCTCCAATCCGTGTTCGCAGCTGGTCTACGGTTTGATAAGGACATGATGGAAGTGACCTTTGCAAAGGTGAAGGATGTAGCCCTTGATCTCAAGTTTCTTGTTAGCCGTCAGCTGATGCATGACTTCTTCGCCATCAGCTGGCGCATGAATCCTTCGGGAGTTGGCCATAGTAGAGGAAAAGTGGCAAAGGACACGCTAATTGCCAACGAATTCGCGGTGCTATTTATATCTCCTGACCTTGCACAGTTAATGCTCTCCGGTCGGACCTTCTTTTTACACCAGGCCGCCTGCATCAATGTCGCCAACAATCATGAACATACAACCATGTCATACGCAAGCTATATATTACATTTTTAGGGCCAAAACCATGATTTGAGAAATCTGCATGGCTTCATACTAACAATATCCATTATATTATATAAAGCTAAAGAGTTAGTTAATTTGAATTCACTAACTTCAGAAAAAAAAAAAAGTCCTCTTTTAAACATAGCAGTCGATCACTATGGGGGACACGTCTCCCTACCCCCTCCTCCCTTATTTTTTGAAATGGTTCAATTCATCATTAGCAATATTTTGTATAGTCCCGTACAAGCATAAAATAACTTGCGTTAATCTATGATTTTTTTTAAAACTTGTTTATTCAGAACTAGTTGGCCCATGCGAAAATTCGCACAGTTTATTCTTCAGTGATGAAATAATAAATTAATAAGAAAATAAAACAATGCAACCTATCATAAAAGAAAGCAATTGATACTTTCTCCCTAAATATAATCGACAAAGGAAACAAAAATTAAATTAAAACTTCCTTAATGTTTGGAACCAACATGTTTACAAATTTCAATAAACAGTATATTTGCTAAAAATAGTCCAATTTTAATAATTTTGTTTTATTATTTTCAACAATCAACCATTGTGATCGACCAAAAAATTCAAAAACATAATCCCACCTGAAAATTTGAGTTTTCACCTTTAAGGATGTGTAGAATTCGAAAAACGAACAAAAAATTTTTTGTCCGTCCGCCGTTCCCCAGTTTTTTTTATATCTTCTACTCCTAATGTTAAATCCTTTGTTTGGTTTTTAAATTTTGAATGTGTTGCAGTAGAAATACTATATTTGTTAGCATATTGATAATGATTAAAAAAAAAAGTTTAGTCCAATAATTGGAATCAGCTTTTATTTATTTTTCTTTGTAACTAGGAAGGTAATGTTACATTAGATGTATAGTTGTTTGGAAATAATAAACCATTGTGAAATAATTTGTAGCGTTTTTTTTTCATTTTGTTGGGAATTTCGTGTATGTTTTATGTAATCATGGACATAATCAAGGGATAAGTGTGTAATTTTCGAGTTGTTCGCAAATAAAGTTTCTTTCCTTTCATAAATTTTAGTCCTGAATTTTCGGGGTGATTGAACTATTTTGTCCACCTGATTGAGAAGGAAACCTTCAAAATTGGTGGCTCAATCTTGGGATTTGGTGAAGAATTAACGGTGACGTGGCCCAGCGACAAAAAAACACCTTCGATAAATGATATAAACTCCTCCTCTCTTGGTCATAGGGGCATCAAGTCGACGAAATGAGACATGTATTCCATGACGGTACTACAATTAACGTGAGGTTGTGTGAATGCGAATCCTTTGCCTTGCGTTATCTCGAAAATAGTACGTCTTCTTCCGAAGAAACTATCCGGGTCTTGCTGTACGCATCAAAATCTTCAAAGCCAAATTTGTCCGTATCGATCTACAGACCTACCACCGTTCCAGTATTGAAGCCTAGCAAAATGTTTGTATCGACTTTATTTATTTTAGAAAGAAAAACAAAAGCAGAGAGTACGATCCTCTAATCCCTTGTGAAATTCTGAATCCAACGGTGCCCCATTCATGATGTTTAAGCATCACAGGAGCTATATTTGGTAAAAAAACCGATATCGAGCCTCACTGTAATAATATATGTGAGAATTATTACAATCTGTTACAATTAAGGAGTGTTATAATAGTGTTCAGAGAGCACATTCACACTCTATTTACAATAAATAATACAGAAAAATCTACATATAAAATATCTAAATAATAATAAAAGTAAATCTATATAAACAAAAGAACTAAACTAATCAAAATAAGAAATAAAACACGAGCTTACAACCTAAGTTAAACAATAAAAATGCTCATTATTATTATTGTGAAAGCTTAATATTTCTTTGTATATTATCAATTTATTTTAAGACGCGTCAACATAATATTTAAATCATGTCGAACTCGAGTGTGTGAAAATATAAATTGTAGAATTACCTTATGCTTGTTCACAATCCGTACACAAATATAAAACAGAGGTTGCAGAAAACTTTTAAAAAAAATTAGAATTTTTAAGCTAAAATATCATTTTAATTTAATTAGTTGCCTAAGCAAACACTAAATAAACCGCGTGCCCATCACGATAAATTATAAAGTAAAGTAAAAGACTTTACTTTATAATTACGTTTTTTCATCATATTATTAAATGGAATTGTTTATATACTCAAGTTAAATTTAAAAAAAAAACTAAAAGACAGTATAAGCTTTGAACAAAAATATTTAAATGGAAGGCTTTCAAAACAAGACATTTCATTATCACAAAACTCATTATGTGTCATTAACGCTAAAAAAAAAGTATTGTCATCTTGAGATAGTTTTCTTGAAGGTTGTTGTCGAATTTTGTCTGTTCCCAATATAGGAATAGACTCTATTAGAATTGAAGAAAATATATACATACACAATATCAGATGGATGCTAAATTCCAATCGATAGAAAATGTTAATTTTTTTTTTTTTTTTTTTTTTTTTTTTTTTTTTTTTTTTTTTTTTTTAATAAAAGACTCATATTGACAAGTTATGGATAATATTAGATCAGGGATAATATTAAAGCGGTCGGTAACTCGTGTCTAGGAAAAAAGGAAAATAAGAATAACAAACCGTGGTTTGATGAAGATTGCTTAAACATGTGTGAAAAAAGAAAAGCCGCTAAATTAAAAGCTCTAAATAATCCTAGCGAAGATTGTCTTCCGGAATACTTCCGAATCTCAAAGAACGAAACGACAAAATTGCTCAAAAATAAAAAAAGGGAGTATCTTAAAAATAAAATAATTGAAATAGAAACTAATAGAATCGAAAATAACGTAAGAGACATGTACAAAGGTATAAACAGATCAGGCAAATATGTAGGGCCCGTAACGTCTGGAATTAGGGATGATAATAACAATATTCTGACCGATCCGGTTGACATATTGAATAAGTTTAAGGACCACTTTGACAATATTTTAAATACGGGAAATTATGATCTGTGTCCTCCTTCTGAGTACCAGAGTGCTGAACCGTTAATAGAAGGACCAAGTAAAGAGGAAGTTGAAGTAGCTATCGGAAAATTAAAATCATATAAAGCAGCGGGAATCGATAATATCCCTACTGAACTAATTAAGGCATGCGGGGAAGCTGGAGTTTCTAAAATACATCGGTTGGTTAAAAAGATCTGGGTGAACGAGAAATTACCTGAAGAATGGAAAGAATCTATTCTTATTCCGATTCACAAAAAGGGTCCGAGGACGGATTGTAATAACTATCGAGGAATTTCACTCCTTCCGGTATGTTATAAAATATTCACTTTAATCTTAACCAGTCGAATCACGGAATACGCCGAGGAAATTATCGGAGACTACCAATGCGGATTTAGACCTAATCGTTCGACAATTGATCAAATATTTTCTTTACGGCAAATATTAGAGAAAAAATTGGAGTATAACGGTATTGTTCACCAGCTGTATATAGATTTTAAAAAGGCTTACGATTCTATTGACCGCCAGAAACTGTATAATATTCTAATTGAGCAGGGGATTCCAAAAAAACTAGTAAATCTAGTCAGGATGTGCTTGACGGAGACACTCAATAAAGTTAGAATCGGTAATAATTTGTCCGAAAAATTTGAGGTTCGTTCGGGCTTAAAACAGGGGGATTCTCTTTCGCCTGTCCTATTCAATTTGGCATTAGAACATGCCATTAGGGAGGTAATGCGAACCGACAAAGGGTTGGATCTGGGCGGGACAACATCCGTGCTGGGCTATGCTGATGATCTGGTACTGTTAAGCGAAGAAGTTGAAACTATAAAACTAAATACGACAACGTTAATGAAAGCCGGTAAAGAACTAGGACTCGAAATAAACGTGGATAAAACAAAATATATGGTTAGCTGCAAAAATGGCGATACTACTGGTGATATCGATATAGATGGTAATATGTTTGAACAGGTAGATAAATTTAGGTATCTAGGTTCTACGATAACTAGAAAAAACGAAATTGAAGAAGAAATTAAGGTTAGACTGAAGGCGGGGAATGCTTGTTATTTTTCTGTGACAAAACTACTTAGTTCGCGCCTCTTGTCCCGAAACTTAAAAATTAGAATCTATAAAACAATTATCTTGCCTACAGTTCTTTATGGATGCGAAACTTGGCCGCTTACATTAAGGGATGAGCAGCGTCTTAAGGTTTTTGAAAATAAAGTATTGCGTAGAATATTCGGACCGAAGAAGGATGAGTTAACCGGAGAGTTCAGACGGTTACACAACGCCGAATTGCGTGAGCTGTATCCGGGTAATATAATTGAGGTAATTTCATCGCGGCGAATCAAATGGGCTTGTAAAGTTGTTGGGCTTAGTAACGAGAGAATTCCTAAAAGGTTAATATGTGCGGTGCCGAATGGTAAGCGTCCGAGGGGTAGACCGAAGCGAAGGTGGGAAGATTGCATTAAAGCCGATCTGAAGGGACTGGGTTTGGACGGCGAACGGTGGAGGGAGGTGTGTAACAAGCGATTGGTGGTGTCGGCATCGAACCTTCGGGTTCGCTAAGCCTTATTATTATATTATTAATAAAAGACTCATTTTGTATTTCTGAGAAATTACCCAAACAATGAAAAGTTTATTAAAAATTATATAAACGTACAAATAATAATACGACTACAATATATAATAAACATTCATCCATTAAACATTAGCTATCTATATATTTAGTATCGGTATTTAGCGATATTAAAACAATGTGATAAGCTAAATGGTAAAAAATAAAATTACAATGCTAATTCATATTTTAAATAACTTTTATTTTTGAACGTAATGAAAACTAATTATTCCTAGTTTTCTTACGAACAAACATAATTTAAATGTAAATTAGCATAATTTAAATTTTATTGATGGTCAAATGACGTTATCGATACTTTATTCCGCATTTTTATTGAATAACTGATGTCATAAGTTGTTGTTTTTTTTGGAAATTTCCAATATCCATAAAAAATTCAGCTACTTTTTGTTTCTTGAATAATGTTTAGGAAAATCTTGTTT